AAGAATATGTGACAGGCGTGGTGGCACACATTTATAATCCCAGTGGGCTTGGGAGGCTGAAGCAAGAAGATCTGAAGTTCAGAGCCAGTCTCAACAACTTAGCAAGGCCTTAAGCAACTCAGCAAGACCTTGTCTCGAAATAAAATACAAAAAGGGCTGGGGATATGGCTCAGTAGTTAGGTGCCTCTGGGTTCAATCCCTGGTACCAAAAAAAAAAAAAGTAACTTACTTTTTATTGATTTTGGAATGATGATATTATTTTTTGATGAAGTTTTTAGGGCTTGCTGAATTTGCCACTGTTTTGGAGACAATTTCAGTAGAAAGAATCCGTATTTCATGTACTCTCTAAGGAGGAATTCTGTTTTTGCTATTTCACTAACTCAAAAGAAAACAAAGATATGGTTATGCGTATCTGGGTCAAAGCATATACATTAAAAATATTTCATAAAATTCATTATCTTGATTATGTAGCTGATTAATAATGTACTTGTCAAAAACTGTGCACATGGCCATAAAGATATAAGCTTCAATAAGACATGAGAAGAAAGAAACTGGTGGGAATGTCACCTGAATGGAATGTGCCCAGAGATTCTCTCTAAGCTGATGACAATTTTTCTCTGTTGTGGGAAACAATTTTTCTCTGTTGTAAAACACTTGGGAAACACTCTACTTATTATATTAAGTTTTAGACAGAAGCTAACAACAACAACAACAACAACAAAATGGCACTTACATAAGGGAAAGAAAGTGTATTTACACTTTAAGAGGCAACTCATGGGATGCACTACAGACAAAATTTCACCCTCCAGTAAGTTCTTAGGGGTAGGTATTATTATCACCAACTTTCTAAAGGAGAAATGGATGACTTGCAAAGTCATCTAGTGCTCAAACCTAGGTCTGTCTGACTCCAATGCCCAACAATACCTAGACACCTGAACTGTAAGCTCCAGCTTCACATTGCTTCACACCAACATGGGACAAGCAGAAAATACTGAAAATAAGGAAGGACAGCCTGCGTGAGAAGAGAGAATCTTTCTGCATCTTCCTTATTCAGACCCTGAGGGGCACCTTTATTGATATTGCATCTTATCAATATCCCTATCTTCCATTCTTTATCTGTCAGAGAGAAACATCCTTCAGCTCTGGTGTGAGAGTGGTATTCAAGGATGAGTAAATGGCTTGCTTATGTTTCAGCAGTTGGAAGATGATGGGATCCCTTTCCTTGACCACTCTTTGGATAGAAATCCTCCCAGATGTGCCAAAAAGAGCACAGTGTGGAAACGGGCTGACACGTAAACAATTGTAAACAGGTCCCAGCCCAGCTTGGTGGAAGACCTCCTCAGGCCATCTTGCCCAAAAAGAGAAGAGGACCTGCATCCCTGGCTCTGTCCCAAGCTTGTCTCCATGATCTTGTGCACCTTTCTAGAATGAAGAGACACAGAAGCAATAAGGTAGTGCTTTGGCAGAGTGTTTGGAGAGTGTCACTGGGTGGCCATTTGCATAAATGCAAACATAGCGGCTGGCTGCCGCTCTGCTTCCACAAACATCCTTGAAATGTGCAGAATTTTCTAATTACTCTGCAGGGTGAAGGAGGGAAGGGGATTCTCCATCTTGGAGCACCTTCAACTTTAGGTTTCTAAAACAGAAGAGGCTGTTGTAACAAGAATGTGTTTGAAACACATATTTTGTTGTTCACTTGGTCTCAAAGAAGCTACCATCCATTTCATTTGAGGCACTTTAAATAGTTATTGCCCTCCTCCCAAGAACTTCTAGGATGTCACAAGTCTAGGATGAGGTCTCAGAGGAGATAGGAACATCCAGTTACGAAAAAGAAAAAAACAGGGGCCTGGTTGTAGCTCAGGGGTAGAGCACTTGCCTGGCATGCATGAGACACTGGGTTTAATCCAGAAATAACAAATAAAATAAAGGTATTGTGTCCATCTACAACTAAAAAAATTTGTTTAAAAAAGAAAAAAAAAACAAGTTTTAGTGTTACTTGATTCTCAAACCATAGTGTCTCCTGGATGGTGAAATTAGTCTCAGGATGGTGACAGAAATATTTTTTGATGTTAAAAATTAGTTCAAGCAAGTTTATTCTACTATACAAGGAAACATACAAAGAAAGAGTAGTAGATTCAAAGAAAGAGTAGCAGATGGGTAATCCCAGCAGTTTAGGAAGCTTTGGCAGGAGGATTACAAATTCAAAGCCAGCCTCGGTAATTTAGTGAGCCCCTGAGCAGCTTAGCAAGATCCTGTCTCAAACTAAAAAATAAAATAGGCTGGGGATGT